GGAGCTGATCCGTGCTGGTCGCTGAGGAAATACATCAACTTCGCGCTGTAGATCACCGGATCGGATTTCACAGTGGACGAAGTGGAGTCCAGTCCCAGGTCGTCACATGTGGTTGCCGCAAGCCCACCGGACGCTCCTTCGTCGAATCCGTCGGCCGCGCCTTTCTCAAGTCCGCCCGCCTCTTCTCACTCAAGCCGGCCTCCGCTCACACTAGTCCGCCGGTCAATCTAGGCCTCCGGCCTCCGCTCACTCACTCACTGTTCTGACTCACAGACTGTAAGTATGTTTTTTTATATTTAAAGAATTTGCCACTGATGATTCAAACGCGAGTTTTGAGCAGTGTAGAGTAGCACTCAGGGAACCGCTATTGAAACCGCTTTCGATTGCGCGCTCTCATTTTACTTTGATTCGCGATCACATGGACTCTATACTATGGAGCGGCAGTACTTACCACACATTTGACAAGATTAGATGTTTGTCATTGGTGCTCAGGATCTGCAAATCATTCGCCATCGTCCTATCAGACATTTCTCCTTACTCTGTGTATGTGGTAAGTGAACTTTCATGTACTGTAATGCAACAGGCTACCACTAGCAAGCGGCTAACCTTTTAGTGGCTGTGTAGAATGCGTTATTTGTTTCACGCTTCGGGCACACCCCTAATCCCTTTTATTCTCGCTGTAGTATTGTTGTTGCCGCCGCCGCCATGTCGTGAAGACGCTGTGTGCTTCATTGTGAAAGCGAAACTACTTTGTTTGGCCTTCCAAAAGAGGATGATATCCGCTTCGTCATGCCTGGAGCTGATCCGTGCTGGTCGCTGAGGAAATACATCAACTTCGCGCTGTAGATCACCGGATCGGATTTCACAGTGGACGAAGTGGAGTCCAGTCCCAGGTCGTCACATGTGGTTGCCGCAAGCCCACCGGACGCTCCTTCGTCGAATCCGTCGGCCGCGCCTTTCTCAAGCCCGCCCGCCTCTTCTCACTCAAGCCGGCCATGGGTTTTCATGTTTTTGTCTCGTCGCTCCGGCCGGACACGGCATCAACAGTATGTGAGGGGCGTAACATTTCCGTCACACGCTTGAGGTATTCGGCCAATCACAACGCATTGGATAGCTGGCCAATCACAGCACACCTCGCTTTTTCAGACCGATGAGCTTTGTAAAAATCGGCGCGTTTCAGAAAGGCGGGGCATAGAGGAGAAACAATAATGTACAGTATGTGGAAAATAATGTTTTTTTTAACCTTAAACCGCATAAACACATTTCATTACACCAAATACACCAAATAATGTTATTTTTAGCAGCATCATATGACCCCTTTAAAACTTTTTATTAATTTATTAATTAGTTGCTGTAACAAACAATTAAACTGTGGTTGTAATATTGTAATTTGCATTCATGACAGATTTATACAAACACATTAAATAATGAAGACAACAGGTTAAGTAAAAATATAATACATATGCTTGTCTTTTTCAAAGGTAAATGTGATATTGCTTACAAGCTGTAAATTAAGATATTTATTGACTTTGACACACAGTCATGAGGATCTGCAGGGGTCCTCCTCTCTATCATAAAATTTCCTATTTTATTTTTCTAAATAAATTGATAAATCAGGACAAGCAAAAGGTCATGTCATTGATTCTATTAACAAGAGTAGAAGAGTAAAAAGAAAATGAGTCGCTGCAAGTGTATAATTTTTTTCAACCATTTTTTTGCCCAACAAGTCTGAATGCTTAGAAAAAATAGTACACTTTCCTCAAAAGCTGCATGATTTGTGGCATCATTCATGTCAGCAGCAAAAACACTGTGGCATGAGAAATAAAGAACAAAAAAATCTCTCACCATCAGGTACTGGCGAGCCAGACACACAGAGTCAATGGTTCCCTGCACATAGACGGTGGATTTCTTCTGTGGGCAGTTGGGGTCTGGGAAGTGGACCTGCGCTCCTGTGCGCTGCATGATGTGCTTGATGTTGCTGCCGTTGCGGCCCATCATGAAGAGGTGGTGCTGGGGCGCGATGTCAAGCTGCGTGCTGACCGTGATGGCGCTGGCCAGGTTGCCCGTGAGGTGCTCCAGTAACACCGCTGTGCCCCTCTGCAATGACACCAGGGTTGGAAATGAATGGGGACTTGGGGCAAAAATGCAACGTAATGAACAAAGCTGCCTCCCAAATTTAAAAAATGCCCCTGCACAATCTATTACAACTGACACAATCAAAATGAAATGTGAAAATGAATAAAAAGTGTTGACTGCAGCATTTTGAGTAACTGTTTTGTATGGAAACCCATTTCTGCCATGGGATAAACATTTTAAAAAGGCGATTACAACTTTTTATCTCACAATTCAGATTTTTTATTTTTTTTTGCAATTGTGAGTGCAAAAGTTTTTTCTTTATATCTTTTTTTTTTTAGGAGTTTATATCTCAGAATTAATATATCTCTTTTTTCCTCAGAATTTATTTATTTTACTACTTTATTTCTTGCAATTGTTTCATTTCTGACTTTATAACTCGCAATTGCGAGAACTGCGAGATGATAAAAAGTCTTCAATTCTGACTTTATTTTGCACAATTCTGAGTTTATATCTTGCAATTCTTGCAAACCTTTCTTTGTGCAATTCTAAGAAAACCTTCATATTGTAAGATGTTATCATTTATTATAAATTGTAAGATTATTGTAAGATGTTAACTCATAATTGTAAGTTTATAACTTTCAACTGCAAGATATAACCTCACACGAATTGTGAGATATAAACTTGTAACTGCGAGAAAGAAAGTGACTTACATGTTTGCAGTGTAAAGATGACTTTTGTTGATCAAATGTTATTGTTAACATTCTACAGTATTCTAATTGATGGAAGTAATCGCTTAAATTGAAGTATTTGACATAAAAGACAACACAGATACATCTAATCAGGTAATTATAAAAAAAATGCATTTACAAAGGTCAAAAATGCCTCTGTAAATCAATTCAGGGGACAAATATTGCCCTTTAATGGAAAAGTTTATTTCTGACCCTGAACAAAACCATGAACACCTCACAGACAGCTTTTTCAAACTCATGTCAATCACAACCACCCTGGTTATGATCTGCCAATACGACTGGTGCTTTTGACACTAATGGTGCGTGTTTTAGTAAACAAGAACCTCTTTATGTTCTTGCTTTTCCATCTGGCATATACGACCCTGAGAATGGCCTAGATCGGGGAGTTTCTTTCAGCGCGCCATAAAACTAGGGGAAGAGAGGAAAGGCAAAGGGGCTCTTTTGGGGTTCCTTTCTGGCCGTGTTCGTAGGCGGTTTTGGCAACAAACTCCTCACTCCAGCTCTCAACACATACCAGGCATAGCCAGCAGCCCACAGGACAACTCCAGCCCTATAGACCCTTCCTCAAGACCAGAGATGGAAGAAGATTCTCTTTGGGAAGAATAGCAGGCTTCTTCTACACTAGACGCTCAGTCCAAAGTGTGGCAATCACCACAGACACACAGAGATAAAAGGCTTTGTAGGTGTCTGCTGGAGGATTTACTGTGATCTTCTCTGGAGCTAATGAGGATGTTCTCTTTAGGAGATGAAAATGCTTTGCAAACATATTACCCCATAGGAATATTCCTTTAAAATTGAGGGTTTCTGCAGGCTTTAACAAGGTAAATTTAATACTTTTTGAAGACCTTTTTAAGACCCAGTCATTATGTTCTCTCAATGTAAATGAGCTGCGCACAATAATTTGCATTAGCAGTACTTCAAAATTTTAAAATACAACTTTGTACCGATCTCTTTAATCTGTATGATTAAAATTAAGGGAGAATTAATGGAACAATTGATTGAACTGATCAAAATCAAGTGAGTTTATGATAAAAACATAACAAACGTCCACAAATGGACATAGGAAAAATAAGTTAATTCAAAGAGAAAATATATTTTCATATCCCATTTACAGATATTTGTTCTTTAAAAAAAAAAAATGAACAAACAAACACAATTTTGTTCAATTTCTCAGAAAACAAGACTTTGTATCTTCAGTTTGCATCTCAAGTAAATGTATCTTAATTAAGAGCAGCAACTGATTTTGCCCCATATGTGAGTGTATGAATGTCTCACCTTCACGGCTGCAGCATTATTCTGTGAGCCCCGCACTACTCCTGTTGCTCCATAGAGTCTGGACCTTTGTTTGAAAGCCACAGAGATGTTGTACGTCTGGGAGATGTGCTGGATGGCAGGAGAGCTGGGGTCAGGGTTCAGCTGTACTATGACTGGCAGCTCGAACATCAACACCAAAGGAAGTAACTCCTGAAAGAAGACCAACAAACCCATCAGTTAATGCAATCTGAATTATTGATATTGAATTATAGTCATTAAACTGATATCAATTTTGTTATTTCTACTGCTGACAGGTTAGGATCATGGGTAATTAATAAACAGACCCAATCTGGCTCAAATGGCTTTTTCTTTTTTGGGGGGCTTTTGAAACATTTTACTAGAGTAAACTGGAAACTGATTCAAACCCACGTTTCCCACACGAGCAACAGCCCAAGATATTCATTGTGACAAAATTGCACTTAATTGCATTATATGCACATATGTAAAATCCTCAAAGTGTGTTTTAAAAAATCCTCTGCAGTGAATGGGTGCCATCAGAATGAGAGTCCAAACAGCTGATAAAAACATCACAATAATCTACAAGTAATCCACACAACTCCAAAGATTTTTTTTTTTACTTCAAACCACTGCTTCCAGCTAAAATACAAGTCCTCTATCTATAATGAAGCACCGTTTATAAGCAAAAATAATTTAAAAAATAGCTGTAAACAAATATGTCAGTGGATTTTGATGTGAGAGGACAACAGGGGATGGGCTTTTTCCACTGGAGGAAGCATTATTATGGATATTACGGGCTCATATTTTGGGCAGAAGTGACGGTTTACAGTTAAACTCCTAACACCTTTATGGATTTCTTTTGATTTTTTTTGGACTCTCATTCTGACGGCACCCATTCACTGCAGAGGATCCATTGGTGAGCAAGTGATGTAATGATACATTTTTCCAAATATGCTCCAATGAAGAAACAAGCTCATCTACATATAGGATCCCTTGAGGATAAATACATTTTCTGCAAATTTTCATTTTTGGTTGAAGGCTTCAAGAATCAAGAAAGGGTGACAAGATAGTGTGTGCTTGGCTTTAAATGTAAACAACATGGCTTGCTCTGAATGAATGCTGGCCAAAATTACAGTTACTGCTAGCAGGCCATTTGGCCGACATTCAAGCCATGAAGTCTTCAGAAACAAAGCGGAATAAGCAAATATTTCCCATCATTCTACTGTGATTTAGGGTCATCAAGAGCCCAGCAAACAGTGCCTTACCAATCTGAATTGGTAAACAGAATGAATAGCCAAGCCTTAAAAATGCAGCTCTGATCAGTCCCATATGCTGTGGGGGCTCTGCTCACCCTCATATTCTGTACCAGGGGCCAAAAAGAAAGATCTGCACATTCATCTTTGTTAATGGTTCTCCTCATTCTTGAGCTAACAAAGGCTTATGCACTGGCTATGAGCAAAGCTTTCCAAACAAAATCCTCCTGTGTTTTGTTTTGCTTATTGTTAATAAGGAATTTGGAGGGGAGCTCTGTATTCTGATCTTTTACAAACAAGAGGTCTGAGCTTTCCTCTGACCTTCTGTAGAATCAATAACTGCTGTATTTGCTTTCTGTTTTCACAGACAACACGCATCTAAAGAGCGAGGAGGATGCTCTGTGCATCATTCCATTGAAATGAACTAGGTCCCTCCAAGAAAGCAAGGCTAATCTTTAAACGGGCTAATCGCTCAAGCATCAAGTGTTGGGACATGGCCAAACACGCAGGGTCTCAAACACAAACATGCAATACAAACATTTTGCTTGTGGGTCAATGACATGATGCTCAATGTTTGAATACAGCTTTTCTATGATGATGTTTTAAATATTTTGAATTAAAATACATTTTGATAGTTATTTAGGACCATAACGTAGCGCCCTGATATCACAAATCTTCCTTAAAGGAAAATTCTGTCATTGTTTACTCACCCTTATGTTCCAAACAGTTGACAATAGCCATTGACTTCCACAGTATTTTTTTTCCATACTATAGAAGTCAATGGTTACTGTCAGCTGTTTGGTTACCCATGTTCTTCAAAATATCTTCGTTTGTGTTCAGCAGAAGAAACTCGTACAGATTTGGATGACATGAGGGTGAGTAATCAATGAAAAATGTTTCATAACTTTAAGTTTGGAATAATATTTTATTATTTTTACTTAGAGAAAAAAACTGCTCAAATTGAGATTATTTGACCTTTTTATGACAAGGCAAGGTTAGTTCAGGTTGTAAAATATAATGTGGTGGTGCAATTGCCCAAAATGTATTCATTTTTATGAATTAATTCTTTTATGATATACATAAAAAATAATAATAAAACAAATAATTAAAAAATGGAAAAAAGATAAATGTATTATTATTTTTAAATAATGATTATGATGTGTACACTGAAATACGTTATTACTTTTTACTTTATTGTTACACCACAACATTTTTAGATTCATTTATACTGGTAGAACATTTTATCAAAACCATCACAAATGAAATTAAAATTAAAACAAAAATGTTGAAAGACTTTTTTCTTTTCTTTCTTGTGGATGCAGTTATTTATCATTGACCTTTGTGCAACATAACATAACAATAGATCCAAAAATAAAAATTCTGTCATCACTTACTCATCATCATATAAAGTGATCATATCTCTTTATAAGACTTGGATTAGACTGCTCTATTGATATGGATTTGTTTTACGCCTCCTTTATAACCTTTTAACTTTTGGTTACCTGGATTTGTATCGGAGGGACAGAAACCTCTCAGGTTTCATAAAAAAATCTTAATTTGCATTCTAACTTTACCGCAACAATCTCAGTTGGCCTGAAAAGAGACTTCAAACTTGACATGAGGTTAAGTGTGAGAATTATGCTGGCGCTATACCATTCACATGGGTGTAACGGCACAATAAAGCATCAAAACGACTGTGGGTGAAGATCTTTTGAAGAGAGAAAAGAGGAAAAAGTGGAGATGATTAGGTGGTCAAGAGAAGAATTCCCAGCAGTTCTGGTCACGCGAACGAGGAAGAGAAAAAGTGAGGCTGCCCCACTAATATCCTTCCCTCAAATGTACATTTCACCCACAGAACTTTATGTGTTTTGGACATGAAAAATGGAGCAGCCTGGTTTTTCAAAGGTACTCATTTTATACAAATTGCTTCGTGAAACAATAGTGAAGGCTTATGATAGTTTCTGGTGTAGAACGTCCTCGAGTTAATTGGGGCTCGGTCTTTATGCAAACACTAAGGAAGCCCGCTGTGCTTGAATGCTTTGGCTTGTTTTTCTTGGTTCTCTCTGAGGAGGAAGCACGTGTGCGGAGCCCTGGCGCTGTTGAAATCCGAGAAGAGAGTCTGGACGGAGCACGAGCGCACAGGCGACACCCGGCCAAACAGTCAAGATATCAGCTTCAATTGGCACCATGTGTTCTGCATCAAGCCATTATTAAAGCTGGTCTTATAAGTAAAACTCAAGACCTTGAGTGTCAAAAGCTTCCTACAACCTTCTTATTCCTCATGTTTTATCCCATTAAAAGGCTTTTGCCTGTAAAGCTTTGTGAAAGGAAGGTTTTTATGCCATCGAAATGGATAGACGTGGCTGTAATGCTTATGAAATACCAACAGAGGGCAACGGTTCTGATTCAAGCACCAAGTTCTCAACTAGAAACATCCGGAGAAAGATGAATGCTGCTTGTTGTGTTACCGGGGCGACTGCTGGGATGCTGAGGAATGTGTTTATCTCATCCAAAAAATCATTTATGTTAACACCCCCTGTACCTGTCAACTTCCTCAAGATAAATAACAGCCTCCCACTTCTACTTCCTGCCTTTATCGCAGAATAACACAGATGTTTGTAGTCATATTATGAATGTTTATTTACCCGAATTCGGGCTCTGGCGGCCTCCACTCCTCCTGGCTGGCCGGCTATGGACACCTGCAGAAAAGGAACAAGAAAGTCAGATGTATATTCACGGAGAACAAGTTATAAGTTATATTTGATTTGATTTTCATTTGTTTTCCACAGAAAAAAAAAAGTGTCATGCATTTTGGAACGACATGAGGCTGAGTAAATGATTTTCATTTTTGCGTGAACTAATCCCTTAAGAATGAAAAATACTCGTCTGCCAAATGTTATCATACGAGCACCACTAGGAGGTGAGATTTCTTCATTCTGCCCTGTCTGGCTCTCATTCACCTGTCAGCAAGTACCAGCCACTCTGAACCCAACACATGAGCCCACACTGAAGGAGGGCCATGTCATTGCTCAATTTCCACATTCCCCACTTCATCAAGTCTGGAAACATGTCTCACATCCAATTATAGCTCAGTCTTTATCCTCCCTTAGGCTGCAGACAATATGCATACAATCAGTAGCTCAGTGATACATAAACTCATTTTAGAAATCAAAACAGCTCCAGGACCTGAAATGGAAATTATAATCTTTTGGGTGAATATCTCAAGAAACCTGTCAAGAAACATGCCCAGGTCATATTTCAACCCAAAATAACAAGAACATAATTTCAAATATACATACACATATAATTTATAAGTATAAATTATAGTATTATTATTATAATATTATGTTTGCATATATTCTTCCATTCAAAAGATTTTTTAAGGAAATTAATACTTCTGTTCAGCAAGGATGAATAAAACTGATCAAAAGTGACAGAAAGAAAGAATAATCCTGACAAAAAAATGATCCGTTTCTTCAAAAACATTAAGCAGCACGGTATTCAACATTGATTATAATAAGAAATGTTTCTATGCATCAAATCAGCATATTAGAATGATTTCTGAAGGATCGTGTGACACTGAAGACTGAATTAATAATGGTAAAAATTCAGCTTTGCCATCAGAGGAATAAATTACAATTTACAATACACTAAAACAGAAAAGTTATTAATATTGAACAACAGTACTGTTTTGCACTGTTTTAAATCGAATAAATGCAGCATAAGAGACTTATTTTATTACCAACCGATTTATTTAATTTTATTAAAGAAAGTCAAACTAACGAACATCACGATTTTTGACATTTATCATTATTTGTATAACAATTAATCATACCCCCATTCTCATTACCGTGGTGATATTTATGCAATTATCTTATGATAACAAAAAAATACTGTATTTCAGTATACTGAGCATAATAACAATTACACGAAAAGCCAAAAGTAAAACGTACATATACATTATGTAAATTAAAACTTGTGCTTAAAGGGATAGTTCACCCAAAAATGAAAATGCTGTCATCATTTACTCACCCTCATGTCGTTCCAAACCTGTATGAGTTGCTTTCTTATGTTGAACATAAAAGAAGATATTTTGCCACTTAATATAAAGTGGGACCGTTCCTTATATTTTCTCTGGGTAAGCTGGGTAAGTCAGAATCCCACCTGGTTGCTCTTCTCAGCCTGGTTGTTGCGGTTGGAGTCGGGGAAGTGGATGTGACAGCCCGTGTCCTCCATCACCTTCTTGATATTGTTTCCCCCTTTGCCGATGACATGTGAATGCTCGGTATGTGAGACGTCCATCTTTAGAGTCACGCGATTGCTCTGAAGAAACAAAAGAGTTGGATTGTATTAACTGCAGTACCATAGTCACCTCAGTTTTGAAGGTGTAACAAAGTTTTACATACAGGAAAACAGATCCTGCTCCCCTGAGAAGCTTCATTAAAGTTGTGACAGATTGAATTAGATCTATGAGCTAGAGCCAAGTCAGATTTCCATTACATCAAGTCTACAGAAAGATGTCAATACACACCATTTCCCATTTCACGTCAAGCGCTTGAGGGAAATTACCTCACAAATCTACAGTGATGTTACAACCAACTCTTCAGTTGGCATTGGTGGATGTTCTGCATTATGTCTGGCATAAATTACCCGAAGAATGGATATATGACATATGACATATCAAATAAGAATCACCAAATCTGACTTGACATGCTCACCTTTGTGTCCAGGACAGACATGATCTTCTCCTTGGCTTCTTTCACATTGTCTCTCTTACCGCTAACTTTGATATGTGGATCTGAAAGAGAAAAATACATAAGGCATGTCATAAGGTTTATTTACCTATTTACAGCATTTTCAAACATTAATTAGTTAAACAAACCACTAACTAAGCAGCACATCGGCATATTAGAATGATTTCTGAAGGATCATGTGACACTGAAGATTGGAGTAATGACGCTGAAAATACAGCTTTGCATCATAGGAATAAATTACATTTTAATATACATTTAAATAGAAAACAGTTTTTTCAAATTGTAATAAATTCTCACATTATTACTGTTTTTGCTATATTTTTTTAGCGAGCGTAAGAGACTTCTTTCAAAACATTTAGAAAATGTTACCAACCTCAAACCTCTGAACGATATTTCAAAACAACAACACCCAAAATACCTTGAAGTAGTAAGTCAGTTCTGCATAGGCAATCAGACAGTTATTATATTGATAAGCAGTTATTATATTCATCATAAACCTTCATCAACGATATGGCCATTTACTCATATAAATTATGTGGTAAGTCCTATCTCACACGACTAATGTTGGGTTCAAGTAGGGCTGGCAGAAAACTGCATACAGTGCTTCACGGTTAAATAAATCCAGACAATATTTATATCATTCCAGCACTTGCTCATTCTGTCATTGACTTCCGCACCATAAACATCTGTCTCATTGTGCTGCAAAAACCCCCAAATTCCCCTGTACTAATCCACTTTCCCAACCTTCATGCCAACATGAAGTAGACCTCTGCTTAGTGTCCCACAGAAAGACTTCTGGCTAACGGCACAATGTCTGGTCCACTTTACAACTTTTCCACCCACTTATGGCGCTTTTCCACTGCATGGTACGGCACGGTACGGCTCGGTACGGTTCACTTTTGGGGGGTTTTCCACTGGGTACAGTACCTGGTACCTGGTACTTTTTTTAGTACCACCTCGGTTGGGGTTCCAAGCGAACCGTACCGTTACCAAAACGTGACGTGTAAACTCTGCTGATCACGCCACCTTGTTTGCAAAAAATTTAATGAATTGTTAAATTTTTATTTGATTACATTTTTTAAAGATTAATTAAATATGCAGAACACGCAGAATTTCTACATTATTTTTAATAGTTTCATTAATACATTGTTGAAGTTTCATTTTAATTATTAAATATTATTTCATTTATTAAAATGTAAAAATGAAAAAGTAAAACATGGGGAAAAAAATTAAATGTAATTTGAGGAAAAAATGAAACAAATGTCATATTTCATCACAGTTCATTTCATGACCCCACACATGTTTTAGTAACAAGGCAGTTTAAGAATCTAAAGCAAGCCACAAGACAAGCCAAGCCGTATAATTCTCTCTCCACGAAGGAGGAAGACAAACACAAGGCTCCAGGTCTAGCACTACACGTCTGGCTTTCCATGCTATAGCTGCTGTTCCGGTGCTTAAAGGAAGCTTGTGATGAGAGCTTTCAATGCCAGAGGGAATGAGTGGAAAAGCCAGGCTAAATCACTGTCCCACGCAGAAGCGAATTTCTCCACCACAAAATCCTGCAAAACACCCATTCGGCCTGACTGGATGGACACTGCGGGAGGAAATCGCTCCAGCCAGGCTCCAGCGACATTCCATAAAGCAGAAAACATACCGAGCGTTTAGAGTTAGCCACTACAGTAAGACTGGCCTTAGTTAAAATTGCATGTAATGTGACCATTTTCTGTGGTCAAGCTCAAGTGCTCACTAGAGGTTTTACAGTTTATACTGTGGTGTTAGGGGGGAAACAGGAATATAATCGCATACAAAGGGGTTTGTCTCATGTAAACGCGCCAACTGAGTGTGGTTTAACACATGTAGGATTACACCCGATGATTAGGATCGCTCAGCTTCCACGCTGGCAATTATTGTCCACCTCACCAGTTTTGAGTGGCATCCCCTTAAGGGTTGGATTTACAAGAGTGGTGAAAACGTTGAAATGTAATATGTCTATTGCATACAGAGTGAAGCAATGCTGGTGTGGATGGTGTTCAAGGCTGCCACAATGCACCAAACTTTCACATTTGTGCATGCAAAGCAAAAATGGCTTATTAAAATTGCTTCAGAACCATAAATCTTCATGCCGTTGGTGCATTTATTGTTATAAATATGAGAGAAGGTGGGTTTGTGAAAAGCACAGACAAATTGTTTGGGATTCCTGGGATTTTCATGGGAAAATCTAGGCTTTAACTATATGTTTCATTGGAGGAAAGCGTTATTATGGATCATGGACTGGTATTTTGGCCAGAAGCAATGGTTTAAAGTTAAAATGCCTTAATGATGGATTTATTTCTTACAAACATGCAACTATTCTTTTCACAAGATGTTAACTGATGGACTGGAGTTGTGTAGATTATTTGTGGATTATTATGATGTTTTTAATAGGTGTTTGGACTCTCATTCTGACGGCACCCATTCACTGCAGAGGATCCATTGGTGAGCAAGTCATGTAATGCCAAATTTCTCCAAACCTGTTGCGATGAAGAGGTCAGTCAATTTTCAAAAAATAATAATAATAATTTTTGGGTGAACTATTAATTTAAGAATAGTGGTTCAGCAATGCTAAGAATTTGTAATAGAGTTACAATATTTAAACTAAGGAGACCAGATTTCTGAAATGGAAACTGGGAACGTTTCCTTGTTCATTTGTCAAAACATCATTGAAATCTCACTTGTTATTATCTAAGAAATAAAACTATACATTTTTGCATGCTTTTTCCTTTTTTTAAATTGTTGTGGGTTCCATAAATAAATATTATAATTAATAGGTATGAGGGACGTTAGCGTCAAATAGGTTTTGATTTAATTCACCAAAACGCACACGATGAAAAAAAGTAAATATTAATCATTGCAAATATCAAATAGTTAGTATGTGACTACCTTGAAACCGATAACAAATTCTCTTTTGATTACTGATGATAATAATGCTCCGCACTCATCCAGGTCATTTTTTTCATGGCTAAAAGCAGTGAAAAACATGCTGTAAAACAAGGACATTTCCAAAGACAGGACACCAAAAACAGTATACTGTATATATACAGTGGGTACGGAAAGTATTCAGACCCCCTTAAATTTTTCACTCTTTGTTATATTGCAGCCATTTGCTAAAATCATTTAAGTTAATTTTTTTTCCTCATTAATGTACACACAGCACCCCATATTGACAGAAAAACACAGAATTGTTGACATCTTTGCAGATTTATTAAAAAAGAAAAACTGAAAAATGCTCAGTATTTAGTAGAAGCACCCTTTTGATCTAATACAGCCACGAGTCTTTTTGGGAAAGATGCAACAAGTTTTTCACACATGGATTTGGGGATCCTCTGCCATTCCTCCTTGCAAATCCTCTCCAGTTCTGTCAGGTTGGACGGTAAACGTTGGTGGACAGCCATTTTTAGGTCTCTCCAGAGATGCTCAACTGGGTTTAAGTCAGGGCTCTGGCTGGGCAATTCAAGAACAGTCACAGAGTTGTTGGGAAGCCACTCCTTCGTTATTTTAGCTGTGTGCTTAGGGTCATTGTCTTGTTGGAAGGTAAACACACACACACACACATAGATAGATGGTGTGTGGCCAGAATGCTATGGCTATCAGTGAAGAAAGACCGTAATATTGTAGTTACAGTAACCACTAGCAGACTAGAAAAACTCATCGCGGATGTTCTTTCACATGGTTTCCTCACACCTTTTGACTACAGTGTTTAAATATAGCTCCATCTAAGGATGCTTTGCTGACACACACCTCCATCCACAGCTGGCTTTGATAAGCGGTACACTGCGCTGATTGTGGTGCGAAACACATCTGTTGAAATACATTCCTCTGAGAGTCTAAATAAGTCATTTCCAACACAGCAGGGGAATGTGAAAAAGGAGAGAAAATAAACAACCAACAAGCTGGATACACCAAATCAGTTCATTACAGTTATGGTTCATCATACTAAATCACGTGGAAAGAATCTTTTTGACTGCTACTGTCTATAGAAAGCATGGTGTTTGATGATTTGGTTTAGGATCCTTTGATTTGTTCTTATAATTTTTCAAGTTAGTGGAGAAGTTGAGTTTAAGAGGGAAATATCTTTTCAGGGAGTTGTTTATCCACACAGGGGGTGGCATGAGCTAAATGGAGCATGCTGTTTCGGAGGCCGCAGCGTTTTAAGGGCTGCTTGGAAATGCCCACAGTGGATTGTGTTATGTGTTGAGAGACCTGCAAACTGTTGCAGTGCTGCCACTGTGAGTGAAAACAGCAGTAGTAAAAGACAGCAATAGCAGTCAGTACTAAAAGACGTCCAGGAGAATGTGCATCTACATCCTGAGAAGCATGTTTGTTTGAGGAATATACATTGATGTCACAGTCACACACACACACACACACACACACACCATGTGACAGTATAAATATAAACTGATTATGCTATACCCTACTTTACATAATTTAAGCCAGAAATCTAACAAGTGAACAAAGCCAATTAAAAAAAAATGTTTCGTTGACACTTTTTTTTTCATTTTGCTGACATATTCGAGTCAATGTTTTTTACAGAGGGGATTTTGGGTTTCTCTTTTTATCACTCCATAAATTATAAAATACTCTCAACAGCCAAGAAAACAAAAACTTTTCACCATGTTTTAGGAATAAAATGTTGTATAAAATTAGGCTAATGATGAACTAATGACTTCTGGCTCACCGCATGAGAAAAAAAACTCACTTACTGCACTTACACACACACACACACAAATCCTTTTTTTTCTTCTCTGAAGTGTTTCCTAATGTAACCTTTTAATAAACATGGTATTGTATACTCTAAATATTTTGTGACAAATTGCTTTCTTCCTCTATTAGATAAGTGTCTGCCAATTGCATAAATGCATTAAAAAAATAAATAAAACTGGTTTGAGTCCTGCAGCAGAAGTGTTAAATACAGCAAAGCTATTTTTAATCCTAATCCTTTTTTTTCTTCTCTGCATTGTTTCCTAACGTAACCTTTTAATAAACATGGTATTGTATACTCTAA